ATGGATAAATTTGACTCCAAAAAAGCTTGAAAGAAACTGTTCTGACTCTGTATATAGGGTAACATTATAACATAGCTATGATTCCCCCGTGAATGTTCTATGTGAATTCTTCATTAATTCCATACTTTTGTAAACTTAATAAAGGCTATAAATTTATAAACAATCCTTTTAGCAATGCTAAAATTTCAGCAATGTTCTAATTTTATTGAGCAGCTAAAGAAGAGAACAAGACTTTGTTTCTCGTGATACGATGCTTTTAAGTTTGGGCCTCCCAAGATCTCCTAGCCCAGGTCTCCAGTTGCTTAAATCCTGGACTGTCTGGAATGCTTTCCTCTTCCATCCTGCTGCCCTCTTCTCATGCTGAGCCCTCGCTTAGGAAGGGAGCTGTGCCAAGAGGAAGTCCGCAGTACAAATGCAACCCGCAACCTTCTTCCACAGCACCATCAAAGGCTGCAAGGCACATGAATATAAAAAGGATGCCACTTACATTCATGTGAATGTTCAGTGTGGATATCAGGAAGTTAGAATCATGGATGAAAGAAAGTGGGCCAGAATCTGGGGAGCTAGGCCTAAAGAATCTGGTGGATTCCCACCGAAATAGATTCCTCCCTCATCCCTAACTGAGATCCCACCTGGGTACCCTTTTTATCATGTGTAGCCCCTGGGTACTGATGTATTCATTAGTCTCTCTTGAGACTTCCTAGTCTGTTCTAAACAGTTCTGATGATAGAGCTCTCTGTGAATGGGGAAGTGATAACAGAAAAACAACAAACATGTACATTTTTTCACTGTAATGAAACATTGTCATTACTTCCTGCTATATAAGTGCCATTAAATATGCATGTTCACTCAAAAATTCTCCCTCATCACCAGGATAATTCAGATGAAAATTTAATTAGCCAATGCTTATTCATGTCAAGTTCTTTTTGGGTGGAACCCTCTTGATAGCAAAGCCAGGTTGCATTTTCTTCCATGTCCCCTCAAGCACATATAATCCAGAAGTATTCACAATGGGAAGAACTGATCTACTTGTTTAAGACAGTTTGGTTAGCTATACAGTTTCCAAAGATATAGTCTTTCCTCACTCAAAACCTGAAAATCATAACACCTCAGCAAGAGGCCTCATGATTTTTGAAGCATCTTCTGTGAGGCAGCATTGCTTACTGTGCAGCGTACAGAACTGATAGTGCTTCAAACCGTTTCACACTTCCAAGGTAGCAGCTGCATTTTATCCGGTACCCAGAAGATGAGGTTGGCCTGGGAGTCTGGAGAACAGCTGCACCATTCAGTGCCTCCATGTGAATAATTGTTCACACCGTATTCTCATCTTTGCTGCTTTGAACTGTGATGCTGAATATCTTGGAAAGCTTAGAGGTCATGCCAGTCAGGGAGGATTTTAATGGCTCTTGTGCACCAGAACAGAACAGCGAGTGGAAGTGCATGACTCAGTCAGGATGCCGCCAAAACCAGTGCCACCTAGTGCTTAAATTAATTATGCACTGGGATACTGCCTCTCAGCCGGTGTACTGGGGTGCCCGAACTGACCACTGGCAAGTATGAATTCCACCCATTTATCTCCTTCTCTGACCTGTTGTGACAAGCTGCACTAGCTATGCAAGTTTGATGATAAAAGGACATACAAAACCAGTCTTCCATGTTGGTCCTCATGCTAGGGAAGTGATGCACACACAAATGAAGGCATATAAACTTTACAAATGGATGCATTATTTATTATTATTATTATTATTATTATTATTATTATTATTATTATTAGAACATTTCTATGCCACCCCTTGCCAAAGCCTCGGGGCGGCTTACAACACAATACAATACAATACAAAAATAACAATATAAAATTAAAATTAATAATATAAAATGAATAACAAATATAAACAATATAAAAGAAGTTAGAAAAGTTATAAAAGAAAAGAAAAGAAGTCGCCCTGGCCAGATAAATAGGTAAATATTGTTAACAATTAAAATGACGTTTAAATAAAAAGGTCTTCACCTGGCACCGAAAAACAAATAACGACATTATTTGCCATTGTTGTTCTGTATCCAGTCCCCCTCCCACCCACATCCATGAGCACACACACCACACTAGTTCACACTGGTCACCTACTCCATCCTTTAGCGTCGTCTGGACATGGGCCACTCCTTTCCGACGTCCAGTTTCAGTGCATGGACATCAGGATGGAGTCAGGGACCATGAAACCAGCGAGGGGACGTGAAGCTGTGTGTGCCTTTAGGGACAGACCTGGCATTGTTCTATTCTGCTCCTTCCCCATTTTATATATCACAGTCTGTATTTTCTAGCACATTTTATTTGGTGTGTTTGGCCTTGCCTTACCCAGGATTGAAAAATGATAATTAATCTTGTGTTTTAATTATGGATTTTGCCTATTCTTTAACTGATTTGAAATATTGTAATGCTAGTATTCATGAAACAAACAGTTTCAGTTGTTGCTTACGGTAATAATGTACTTAATGAAACTGATGTATTGCTAGCCTTTCTTTTATTACTCTGAACTGCCCAGAGAGCTTTGTTTCTTAGGAAGTACAGGAAGGTAATACATGAAATGAAATTATCCACATATACAGTGCATGCATGGGAAATTTCTGAGAGCAAATTGCATGAACATGCCCTTGCTTGCATTAGTCTACCCTTCCAATTGTACATGCCTTTTCTCCTGCCTCCCTCGTGCGTCCACCTCTCTCTCTCTCTCTCTCTCTCTCTCTCTCTCTCTCTCTCTCTCTCTCATTCTGGCATGTACAAACATGAATGCCATTCAGGGCAGGGTTGGGATGAACCCTTTAGGAATCCATCCCTCTCACACCCATTTTCTCATGCTTGGCCTGGTCCTGCAAAGTGAGCCAAGTCAAGAGGAAGTCCATGAATGCTCATGGACGCCCCTGGTGGTGCAGTTCGCAACCTTCCTCTTCCGGAGCTGCTGCAGGATAAGGAAGAGGGCACTGTGAGTGGGCACAGCAAGACCATCCCGGCAACCGACCTTCTTCCCAGTTCACTGCTGCTAGCAGTGGAGGCAAAGCATGTGGAAGAACAGCCCTGTGGGGCTCTGCTCCTGGTGAACGCTGGCGCACGTGCATTTAGCATCACCAGCGCAGACTCAGGGCTGCTGCAAAGTGGGCTGGAGTCCAGGGAGCCAAGAGAGGGAATCCAATGGCTTCCTGCCCCCAAATGAATTTCTCTCACGTTCCTAACTTGGGTCCACTTGGCTTCCTAGATAATATGTTAGTACCCTCATCTTGACCCGAGGCAATGGTGGAGCCAGACATGCTTTTACAGCTCCACAGTCTCCTCTGCTCCTGGAAATAGGAGAGCCACTGGAGAGCCAGTGTGGTGTCGTGGTTAAGAGCATGGGACTGGGACTCAGGCGATCTGGGTTCGAGTCCCCGCTTGGCCATGGAGCCAACTGGGTGACTTTGGGCCAGTCACAGACTCTCAGCCCAACTGACCTCACAGGGTTGTAGTTGTGAGGATAAGATGGAGGAGGAGATGTAAGCTGCCTTGAGCCCTTTGTAGGAAAAAGGCAGGATATAAATCGAAAAATAAATAAAAATACTCACTGAGACTGATCAGTTATATGAACCCATGATGGCTGGATCCATATTCTTATTAACAGTGAATAAATATGATACACAGGGTGTGTAGCAGGCATGCGATAAGGAATTGACTTTTCTGTGTAGGCAGTGGATCATCACTTACATACTTTCAGTGGAACACAGATAAGGTATTATTAATTGGAAAGCCTTGTTTTATGTCTATTGGATGCCAGAATGCCTCCTCACTAAGGGCTTCTCTATTGGCTCATTGCTAGAGATGTAATGCCACTAATCATATGTTTTGGCAATATAGTTGCCTCTTTGTGGGACGAGGTTATATTATGGATAAATTTTGCATTGGAACACTTTACTATTCACTGATGCATACATCCTTTTATATTATTTGTCTGCTTCCTGGAAGTTAATGTAGGGTCAATAGATGCCCCATATTTTGACAGGTAAAAGATGAATGTTGCAAGACTGGTAAAATAAAAGCTCACCTCCTATAATGCAACCCTTTCAACATTTGAATGGAGGGCATAATGTCACCATTCTTGAAAAGATATAAAACTGGATATAAAAAGTTTTATAAGATATAAAAAGCTCTGCCTTTGTTGAAGCCTTTGTATACCTGGTACGTTCACAACTGTCTGGTCATCTTTTTCCTTCTTTGTACTTTCATGGACTTATTTTTTTGAAATTCACAATAGGGTGTGTAAATGCGTGCATGCATTAACAATGTTCATAAATTGTACCCCTAAACACAAGGAGAAGGATAAAGCAATGAGCATGTTTCTTCGTGTTAAAAGGCGTTTATCCCATGCTCTCCTCCCCTGACATGTAAAATTAGCATCCCAAAATGCGTCTTGCCTGGTCATGGTAATGTTAAATGCACATATGTCAAAGCTTTCCCAAACTTTCTCAATTTGTCAGACTTGCTTTCATATTCAAAAGTGGGGACTTTTGCAAGTGCACAATGCCAAAGACACACATTTGCACAAATATTTCTGAAACTGGCATTCTCACACTTCAGTTTTGGGAGGAAGGTGCATTTTCATGCATCATTTAAAATCTGCATTTTTAAAAGTGCATTTTAAAAATGCACTTTTTAAAATGTAGTTTTTCCCAATCACAGCCCCACCCATGTCACTTGCAGGCAGAGATGCAAATGAGATGAAAATAACTTTGAGGAAGAATCCAAAGAACTTTGACAACCTTGAATATCATGTCTTTGCCCATCCCTAACTAGAATCCCACTGTTATTGTGCAGTACAAATAAACTACACCATCAGAAAAGAAGCAGAACAATTTGTGAACAGTTTTTAGGACAATGCAAAAGATCCGTAGCACTTGGTCCGAATCACGTTTCTGTTACATGCAACCACTCTGTGAAGATCACGTGGCTAATTTCTTCCTGCTTGTGTGTTTGCACTTAGGAAACTATGGCGAGAGTGGAATGGAAGCCTTCAAAGACATGTCGGCCAAGGAAGGCATCTGCATTGCCCATTCCTACAAGATCTACAGCAATGCTGGGGAGCAGAGCTTTGACAAGCTGTTGGAGAAGTTACGGAGCCATTTACCCAAGGCACGAGTCGTGGCATGTTTCTGCGAGGGGATGACTGTGCGAGGGCTGCTTATGGCTATGAGACGCTTGGGGCTGGCCGGAGAATTTTTGCTGCTAGGCAGGTGAGTAAATCTGCAGATAATTATGGCCTTTCTCATATGAACACAGTGCAGTATAAATCACATTCGATGCTGTTCAAACTGGAGCTGTTATCCAGTTAAACAAATCTTAGCTGATGAATTCCAGGAGGTGTAATCAAATGTGCATAGATTTTCATTTTGGATTTGTGAAGCAGGCTGGCTTAGCTTTAGGTATTGTGCACATCAGTCATTGCAAGCAGTGCCATTTGAGAAGAGGCGTTCTTTCCTGAGTATGAGTGAAAGAGAAATGCCTTCGTCTCACGTGGTAGAATCGGCTGCTTAATCAACTGGAGTAACTTGTTTGTTAATTAAGAGGTTTAAACAAGTTTAAACAACTTGACCGGGCCAAAACAGCTTAGGGCCTGGTTATCTGAAGGAGTATCTCCTTCCATATGTGCCTGCCTACCCCTTACGATCCAGGGCAGAGGGTCTTCTCTGGGGGCGCTCCCTGAAGGAGAGTAGGAGGGTGACTACCAGAGAAGGGCCTTCTCTGTGGTGGCACCCCAATTGTGGAATTCACTCCCCAGAGAGGTTCACCTGGCGCCATCACTTTATTCTTTTCCACTCCAGTCTAAAACTTATTAATTTTCCCAATGTTTTAAGATTTGGTTGTTTTAATAGGGGTTTTATTGCTGTTTGGAAATTTTATTAGGATGGTGAGTTTAATTTTATATTGCCTTATTGTTAAAGCGTCCTGAGACCATGGTAAGAGATGGTCTAGGAAAGTTCTAAATAAATAAGCAATTCCCCTGCCCCATGTTCTGTATAATCCACATGGTTCTTTGGTGGGAGTCAAAATGACATCTGAGGGCAGGGCCCTGTCCCAAGATAGGATTTGCCCAGAGAGGGCTGGCTAAAGGAGAGCCATCCATTTCTGCCCAACTCAGCCAAGTGCCACATTCCTCCTCTAAGTGATATCATTCGATAGTCCATAATTCCAGAAATGTTGAAAGCAGATGCAAACCCCTCCAGAGGTGATTCACATGTGGAAATGCCTGGGTGGGGGACCTGAGATTTCTTGCGAAAGAATGAAACTCAGATGAACACAATGCTGAAAGTGATCGTGATAAGGCTTAAAATACATTTGGCCTCATAGAGGGAGGAGTAATAATACCTCTAAAGTGATGATTGAAGTGGGGATGAAGGGAAGTTGCCATGTCCAAAGTTACCAGATTGTGAGATATTGACTTGCTCTATGTCTCTATAACCACTTGCCTTGTATCAAAGATTATGCCTGGCTTTCGTATGTTTCCAAGTGAGTGTCCACATTCATATACAAGTTTGTGTTCTGCTTGAGAGAGGTGACAGCATTTCTGGGTTTATCCAGATTTATTCCTTCCCTCTGGTGCTATAGATTCCTAATAGAGGTCTGATAGATTGGCTGATGATATTTCCTGATATTGAGAATATTGTTTCCTTCCAAGCCTGCTTTGTGAGCCTTCGGCTGGGTGTGTTTTTTGATGAGGACAAAATAGCTGATTCTTCGGAGATGATTTGCAGCTGGCACCTTTTTGTATTTTTAATGTGGTGAAAATGTGTCAAATTTGCAAGCAAAAATGAATGACTGGACTGGGCTTGATTATATGTGCAAAAAGTCTGCATTCAGCAGAGCTGGTTGGCTATTGTCAGGCAAAGACAAAATAAACATGTGGATAAATGTTTCAGAAATTCTTACAGCCCCGTGTTCATTGTACTGAAAAAATATGTCATGGAAGAGTTGACTTTTATTTTTCCTTACCACAATATGAGACAAACAACAACATTTCAAAAATTCACCCTTTTCTTTTTGCTCCCCACACAGAGAAAGATACTGATATCAAGAAGTACGTATATAAATTGTGGGTGGGAATAACTCCAGTATATGCATCATGGGAAATGTCGATCTGTGCCAGTTGATTCTAGCAGTGGTGCAATTAGGCAATTTTAGACTCTGGATTTATGGTGTGTGCATCAGGGGGCCTCTCTTGAAAAGTAATGTGCATCATTCACTTACTTCCACATCTGTGAAGCACATCCTATTCTGTTCGGGGGCCCTTCTGCTCATTCTCCTGTTTTGGGTCCCGGACTTCTGCCTCAAAGCCCTGCCCTGAAAGCAGCAATGCTCCCAGTCCTGACAGTGTTGGCTCGTCATCCTGTAATGCTTGCAAACACTTTAGTTCTACCAGTGAGTCAAGCAGTATTGCAGGTACGTAGCTAAGAGGTGATCCTATGGCCTATGGGTGGCATAGAAAATCTGGATCCGCATTCTGAGGCCAGAGAGCCAGTGCCAGCCTCAGAGCTGCAAATCCATGCTCCTGCCCCCTCCCCTCCCCTCCCCTCCCACCAGTGCAGAAGGAACTGTGCTGGCTGGCTGTCCAAGGTTAGAAAACCGACCTAGAAAAGAGGGCAAAGAGTGCCTTTTGGGGGGTGGAGGAGGGAAGGGGAGGTGAGTGGGGCCCCCAAGATCTTATATATCCTGATGGCACTCCAGTCTCCTTCCCCGCCCTCTGAAGCACCCCTGGTAGTTGGCAAAAAAAGCCACCTAACTAAAATGCAGGTCAGGTGGAGCAAGGAGGCCAGGGTTGCCTCTGCGATTCCTCGTGCACTACTCTGGATGCTCCTGAGCTTATGAACATGAAGGGCACAGCCAATATGCCCATGCCCTAAGTCACTGAGATGAAGGATGGAGACTGGAAGGGAATCCCCATCATGCACTGCATTGTAAGGATAGGCACTGCTTTTGGATCTGTGTTGCAATGCACCTGTGCGCTTGGTTGTGCAAACCACTCTGTGGCAGGAGGGCTTTGGCTTGTTCCAAAATGCACCAAAGAGCATGAACGTTTTCATGCTGCAATTGCTAACAACTTGACTGTGAGCAAGACAATGGCGAGAAAAAGGGAGACTGCCGTGGGTGTAGTCCTGGATTTAGATTTGGTCCCAACTCAGATTGCATTACCAGTGCGCACTCCATGTATGCATGTGGGGGGCGGGGGTGGGGGGGAGAGAGAGAATGAGATAGATAAACAGATTGAGAGAGAGAGAGAGAGAGAGAGAGAGAGAGAGAGAGAGAGAGAGAGAGAGAGAGAGATCCTTTCTCGCAACACATGAAGTCATCCACTCATGCATGCAGTGGATTGGCTTTTGGTTTAAAATAGGCAGTGGAAAGTGACTGTTAGGTATTCTATATGCTACCCTTTCCCAAGTTTGTGCCCTCTAGATGCTGTTGGACATCCCATGTTGTTGAAATCCCATCCCATGTTGGCTGCGGCTTGTGGGAGTTGTTTTTCAACAACTCACAACAGCACCAGGTTGAAGAGGCTGCTGTACACAAAGAGAGAACTCCTCCTCCCAATACGGACCTTTGTGTAACCAAAGGGCCCCTTCTCTGCACTCCGGCTGGTGGCCAGGCTGTTGCTCTTCATGCTACTTGCAGGTGTAACCTCCCCGCCACCACCCTCCCCCCCCTCAAAAAAAAAAAGCACTGGGGAAAGCAATCAACCAAGCAATTATGCTGCTGTCCTTGCTAAGAGGGAATCCCACCTCTAAGCCACTGTTGAAGAATTTCTTCTCCTGCCAGAGAAATGTGCTGAAATGCTTTCTGTTATCCACCCACCCACCAACAGGCAGTATGATTGCTGGAAGGCCATTTTTTGCGTAAGTCTAGCTTCAGTTCTATGTGCCCAGGTTTCGGTCCTATGGTGCAAGATGCACCTTCTCCTGTTTTCATACCTTTTGGAAGGCAGAGCTGGCTGATCTCTAGCCTCACTGGGCAGCTCACCTGGAAGCGGCTGTTTTCTGAAAGTGTAAAGCAGGGTGAGGGTGAACATCCATCTTGCTTGCGCCTTCTTCCAGCAAGATGAACAATCCCTTCTTCCCACACTCTGTCAGAGGTTTGGGGCTGCAGATCCGCAAAAAGTAGAGCAACAGAAGATTGCTGTCTCTTTGTATTAGAACAACATCACTTCAACTGGATCCTTGCTCTTTTTCACTCTTGGGGTAAAGGGACTGAAATTCTCAGACCGAAATTCCACTTCAGTAAATTTTTACATATTTGCATGGCACATTTGCTAAAGGATGCAAATGTGTGTTGAAATGTGCCAGAACCTAGAGAGGAAGAGAGGTGGCCAAGGAGGGTCTGGTTGATCTCAAGGGGAGGCATGGCCAGGACCCAGATCTTACAGTAGCCCCACTGACAACCCCTGCCCCAGAGCTGCCCTTCCTCTTTGCCATCACAGCCTCCTGTGCTGCATTCCAAGCCCACATGGCAAATGGCCATGAGTGATGGGATTTGTTCTCCATTACAACCAGAGGGCTCCGGTCCGGTGAGCAATGGTGCATATCGTGGCAAATAGGGTTGCAATTATGACATCAACTTCTTCTAGTCCCAAGGAGCTTCCTCCTTCCTTCCTTCCTTCCTTCCTTCCTTCCTTCCTTCCTTCCTTCCTTCCTCCAGTTTAGCCTCTCAACAACCCTGTGAGGTGGGTTAACCATGAGAAGCAACTGGGCCAAGGTCATCCAATGAGTGTCATTCCTGAGAGGGGATTTGTACCCAGGACTCCCAGTTCTGGGCTGATGCTTTAACCACTACACCACCCTGAACGTTGTGTTTTCCTATACACTCCATTGTTTTTATGGACACTGTGGCTTCAGGATTTCAGGATCTATTTTGCTGACGGTCCAAGGTTCAACCTAAAACTTCTCAGGCTGTAAGTCCTGGGAAGTGCCTCTTGGAATAGAGCAGAGGTGCAGAACCTCATGGGGGCATTTCAGAGAAGCTCTTGGAGGGGGGTTCCTGGAGTGGGCAGGGCTGAAACCAAAAGGAGTGGGACCAAAGGCAACAGAGACAGGCCGGGCATGAAATCCTACATCCCTGAGCTATGCGGCATGGTCTGCGGGGGTTACCAGGTAACTTCTCCAGGGCTCATGGAGCTCCATTTAAACAGGCATAGAACAACCTAGCCTTCCTTGCACCTTTCCCTAAAAGAGAAGGGTACATCTCACTC